TACAAAAATAAACAAATAGATGACTAAAAGCACAATCAGGAAGCTGGGCATACCTGCCCAGTCCCATAATCATCATAATCTAGCACTCAGAGGGCTGAGACGGAAGTGCCTCACTCCAGGCCAGCTTTTGTGTGACAACCTTGCCTCAAAATTTAAACTGAAACATTTTAATCTCAACATTAAGAAGCTGGGGCTGGCAAGATGGCTCATAGAGCATAAAGGTGCTTGCTTAGATGCAAACACTCTGAGCTCAATCTCTAGACAGAACCCACAGGTAAAGTAAGGAGACCTGACTCCAGAGGCGCTGACCATACAAAGTGGTTCCCTTCATCAACAGCACCCCCGAGAACCCAATTAAACTGAGAACCAAGAACTGACTTGACTATTAAGAGGGACTCGAACCTAGGAAGCAACATGTAAAAATTTGACAATGCAGTTACACAAGTAGCTTTCTCCAGTGTTGTGAAGAATATTCAACTTAACCTTTATGTGCTAACAGAATTTAACACAGCAGGTAAGCATCAGACGAAGGATAAGCCTCGAGGACCAATTAATTAAGCCCCCCCCCCCCAACACACACCACCACACAGGACAAAATCTGCCTACAAAAGCTTGAACCACTACTTTGTGTACTTTAAGAGAATCCCAGCACTTAATACGCAGCAGTTTCTAGCCCAGAACAAAATTACCTAGAATTAAATACACTCTTAATTTACAAGTTAGTTATAACATAAAAATCAAACTAAATCCTCATTATTTATATATGAGGTAGAAAACAAAAAGTCGTATTCATTTAGTAGGAACATGAAATGGTCCAAAATACAACCTATCTTATTAGAAACCCATTACTCACTAGTTGTGTGACTGAACAAATCAAAAGTCAACTTCCGTGCTGTTACCTCATCCATAAAATCGAGTATGTCACATGGCAATTTTCAGGCCTACTACACAAGAGCATACGCTAGGTCTTAACTAGCACAAGAGAATGGTATAAAAATGCAGGGGTTACCAGAACAATCTAGATTGCCTGGGTTCTAGTCCCAACTCTGCTACATCATCAACACCTGGATGAGGTTTTGTTTTTTAAATTTAACAGTGATTTAATTCTTCACAGTGAAGAAAGATGTCAACTGTATCTACTTTTCCACATTTGCTGTAAGAAAATTACTTAGAAAATACTGTTTAAAAGTTGTGAAGCATTGCAAATACTTTAAAACAAAAGCATTGCAAATACTTTATTTAAAACAAAAACATTTTTTGGCTTGGTTTCTCAATGTTCCCTAAATATGTAACAGTCACTTTTCTTTGGAGCAGTAAAATTTCTTAAAACTCCCAAAACAGATTTGAATTCAGCTTTTAAAATGCCTGTTTAGTAACAGGACCATACTAGAATTTGGTCCAAATAACGACTACAGCAAAAGGTTATTTGGGCTAAGAAAAAACAGTCAAAAATACCAAGAAAAATTACTGTTAAAACAAAACAAAACACCCAACAACTTATTCCTGTTTATCGCTAAAGCTCACAGTGGTATAAGAATTTTAATAAAATACCAAGAACTACAGTCATACTAATACTTGCTATGGGTAATCATTAAGAATAAATTAAAAACAGGGAACAATACGAAAAGAAAAAAGACAATGGCTAACTGGGCCCTTATTTTGACAGAAATGATGCCCCCGCCCCACCCAAAGAAAAAAACATCCTCTTTCTGAACTTTCAAAAACTATGCTTGCATCTGGGTGCCATTTTAAGAGAAGTCTCACGATTCTGACTATATATATATATATATACATACATATATATGTATATATATATGGGGTAAATTCGAAATGCCCTACAAGTTGAATCAGTCATGGGGCATATAAATATTTCTCTAAAGTAGAAAGCTTACATATCAAGTATCAACACACAATTCTTCAAACCATCTGTTCTCTGTCATCTCTAACTAGACAAACTCCTTATACAGATTAGCCTCATGGATAAACTTGCTCAATTCTATCGCCAAGCATTTTACTACAAATGTTCACACTTAACCATTACTGCCTCTCTAGAGCTTTTAAGTCATTAAAATGGTGGCAGAGCAGCCGAGTATCACCTGTAAAAGAAAAAAATCAGTAAGACCTTCCCTTCAAGTAATTTTTACATTTATAAACAGCTATAGATCTGAATTATTTTCACTAGTACTGAAAGTTATAGTCTCTGTATATGTATGCAGGAAATAATGCAACTCTAATGGGAGATTCACCCTCAAAATGGTCACAGTTAAGTGATTATTCTAAAAGTATCTATTCAAAGTCTTGAATCCTAAGGTTTTGCTTTTCTCCTTTGCTTAACAACAATACAACAGTCCAGTTACTGTTTTGCATAAAACTACAATGATTACACACTGACATCAAGAATTCAGATTTCAGCATCAGTATATTCAGGTAAGATTCTAACTTTCATGGAACTCCAGCCTTGCCACTTAAACCTAGCAAGCTAAACACAGTAAATAACTGTAAATAAGTAGCATCAGACAGCTCCACCACAGTCAATCCATTTCCTGGCCTTTCCTTCAGACTCTCAAAGCTATGCTCTAAGAGCCAGTTTCTAACACTGAACCTTCCTATTTTGTCTTTTCTAAGACTGCCTTTATTCCATGACATTTTTTTCAAGTTAGCTGTAAAACACTCCACCCTCTCGATTGTGCAAGAACCACGTACACCACACACACATAAATGAAGAGAAATTCAGTCTGAGAGTGTGAATTTAGGTTTTAAGTCTTGGAAGCAGAGGGTCTCTGATTTCTCTACAACCAGATAAAAAACGGTTAACGCTTAGCAGAGAATATTACTTCGTATATTAGAAAAGGAGATGCCGGAAAGAACCCGAACCAGTTAAAGCAGCCGCCATCTTAAAATGCGGGATAGAAGTTAAGAGGAAGAAAATAAGACGAAACCACCCGAAGAGGTAGTTCTGCTCAGACAACTAGTTCTGGAAAATCTTAAGTTTCTTTTCAACTTAAATCGACAAATTATCAAATTAACTGAACTGCCGAAACAAGCCTCCTTAAGAAAGGTTCTAAACAAAACAGTTCGTCCACTGTCAACCCCCACACCACAGGGATCTCTTGAAGGCATTTACATCAGTTCCCGGTACCTCAGATAAATAGCTTCGGGTGACCACACAACACAGGAAGTGGCAACAGTGCCAGTCCACCTCCTCCCAACCCCACTTGGTCTTGTGTAACTGCCCAGATTGGGTTAAGCTTCTGGGCAGACTTAGTCACTACCTTTTAGTAAACCGAGGTATGTTTATAATACCCCGATCCTCAGCAAAGTTCGCAACAAAACGTTTTCTTTTCATCTGTTTCGTTCCTTTCTTCCTAGAAGGCCCATAGGCATAGCACAGCTAAAGTAAGTTTTGAAGAACCAAGATTAGGAAGCAGTACTGTGACATTTGCCCCAGGGCTCTACACAACTCCACTTCCCAAACCGGACTAACTTCGTGAAGCAGAAAACCGGCGTGCCTAAACGCTATGCTCTCACCCAGAATTTGCAGATTCTAGCAAAACAAACTCAGCCTTCAACATTTCGCTTGCCCAAAGCGTTCAGCTACCCCAAATAAAAGCTCATTTCAGAAAGTGCACACGCGTTCTGCTAACGCAAGAGGCAGCCCAAGAAAGGGCATTTTCAGAACTGTATCCCACCCGCACACTTTTCTCAGGGCTCGAGCCTTCCTTCCCAGGCCCCGGTTCGGACCACATAGTTCCAACAACTTACCTTATTAATCCGTTTCAGCGCCATAGTCTGTGCTTTTCGCCGGGCTCCTCACTCTCCCGATGTGTACTCAAAGGTCCGGCCAAAACTCCTGATTATCCCGGCGGCGAGGAAGGTCTGTCTCCTCTTCTCACACCGGCTCTGCCAAACACAGGCGCCTTTTGCAAAAACGGAGGAGATCAGAAACTCGCCAAGGCTTCGGAGAAACCCTGCTGATGCCAGATCCCTGAAAACCGTCGCGATCCGGGGAGGGTGGGGTAGCAAAGCCACCAACTACTTCGATCCGTGCTCGCCCAATGAGGGCGAGGGTGACGGGAAGAGCCGAGAGGAGGTTACAAGTTTAACTTCCCGGCCTCTCGAAAGGGAAGAGCCCCGGGTGGGAGGAAGAGGCGGAGGAGAAAGGGGTGGGTGCGGGGCAGGGTCCAGAGCCGGGCAGAGGAGGAGCCCGGGCCTAGTCGGCGGTAGGCCGGCGTCACTAGGGCAAAGAAAGGCAAGGGGGAGGGGAGCGGGAGGCTCCGGCCCGGCGCCGGGCTCCTTTCGGTTTCTGCTCCAAAGGTCGGCGGGCCGGCACAGGGCAACGGAGCTCCTGGGTGCTGCCGTCCCCACAGCCGGGGCTGTTCCGTGTCGCCCCTGACACCACCTTACTCTCCGCCTTACAGCGCGCTCCTACGTGCGCGCGCCCAGCCACCACCTTCTCCTCCTCCTCCACCACGCGCCCGGCGGCCACCAAGCTCCAGCCCCGGCGCGAGGACGCGCCCATGTCCGCCCCCCCATCGGGTCCCGGCCTCGCCGGCCTTCCCACCCTACCCCACCCAGCCCCGAGGGCTGCCCACTCGGGCCGCCCACAGCCAGGGGCGCCGCGCCGGCCCCCTGCCCTCCCCCCCCCCTCGGCCGAGCCATCCACACCCCACGCGTACAGAGGGGCCGGGGCCTCCCTCGAGCTGCGGCCTCGGCCTCCTCCCCTCGCGGCAGCTGGTGCCTCCCCGGCCCTACGGGGCTCACGCGCACGGCACAGCCACAAGATGTCCGCTCTGACGGAACTACTGCCAGCTGCCACGCTCCGCNCCCCCCCCCCCCCCCGCCGCCCGCCCGCCTATTCACCGCCGCGTATCCGTCCGCCAACGCCGCCGTCGCGAGCGCAGGGCGAGCCGAGGGTTGGAAGGGAGCGGTTTGCCTCCCTCGTCCAGGCCCGAGTGGACGCGCCACCCTCTTGCCGTCTCCCGGTCGGGACAGCACCTTCTTACTAGACTGATCGGAGGTCGGGCCGGGAGGGCGGGGGACGGAGGCGGGTCATGGGCTGAGGGGGAGGGTAGACGAGTGGCGGAAACCCTCAGACCCAGAGAAGCATCGAGAACCGGAAGGAGACCTTAGGAGGAAGGTAATGGAAGCGGCAGCTGCGCGGTTGAGGCCCCACGCCCCTCCCTACAGTGGCCCCCGGTTTCCTCACTTGGTATGGAGGCGGCGGATCTCGCGAGAACCTCGTGGCAGGCTCACCGGAGCTCCGGGGTTGCAATGACTTAAGGGCAGTTTTGTGCTCTCTTCCTGCCTGGGGCCCGCCCCCAAACCCGCAAGTTATCGCGAGAGGCGCCGGTCCCCCTAAATTCTCACTGGGCGGGTCCCTGGCGGAGAGCACCGCCCCTGAGTGCTGATGCTGGTGGGCGGGAGAGGAAATGGAATTCCCCAGGCCGGCCGGCCGGCGCGCGCAGACGCGGCCACCTCTCGGCGTCCAATCGGGGGTGCGCTGTGGGAGGGGCCGCGGGGTCCCGGTTTCCGGTGGCCCAGGTGATGGAGAGTTCTTCCCGTGGTCCTCGGAGGGATTGAGCCGCCGGAGGAGGCTCCCCTGAAATTAGGGACGGTAATTTGAAACAGATCCAGGCTGAGTGCTGATAGTGCCGCCACGTGCGGGACGATGTGCGTGGTAAACCCCGAGGGCCCAATCCGACCAGCGGCCTGCAGGGGTCTGCGTTAGCACAGCCTTAACAATGCGGTTTAATTGTGATCGGATTGCATTGAGCCTTGGTCCCCGATGTCAGGCTAAATCAGGTGTGGATCAGCGAGAGGAATAGAATTTTCTTTCTCCCGTTGCCGTTTCAGTTTTTGAGCCCCAAAGTGGCAAACCATTAGGGAATAAGTCTGGATTAAATTCAGTGGGTGAGATCTCAAAGTGTATCACTGCCCAGTTTTTAATCTGTCGTGTTTAAGGTGTAGAGGGCCGTTTGTCATCTTAGTGTATCCTTTAGGTTAAAAACTAAGCCTTTAACTTTTTAAAGGCAGAAAGGGTTAACCTACTTTAGGGTTTTCTAGCACCCATGAATAACCCCACAAAGTGGGTAAATCATTCAGGAATACATGGAAATAAATTGAATTTTGAAAACCTGTTGCAGACAGTAGTCCCTAATTAAAATGATAAAAAAGTGACGAAGGCTCTAATGTATAGTCTAAGAATAAGGGTATACATTCTGTACTATACATATATATGTATACACAAACTATATAATATAGTTTATATTATATATATTATATAATATATATTATAGCCAATTAGTGGAATACAGCTGCTTCAAATAGTGTCCATAGGAATCACCTGTAGTGTAGTTTAAAACGCTGGTTTTGATTTAGTAGACCTGAGGAGAAGCCCCGGATTATACATTACAGCAAGCTCCCAAGTGACAGAGATTATGTGGACCATTTCTGAGTTATAAAACCCTGAGTACTGGGCTGGAGAGATGGCTCAGAGGTTAAGAGCATTGCCTGCTCTTCCAAAGGTCCTGAGTTCAATTTCCAGCAACCACATGGTGGCTCACAACCATCTGTAATGGGGTCTGGTGCCCTCTTCTGGCCTTCGAGCATACACACAGATAGAATATTGTATACATAATAAATAAATATTTAAAAAACCCTGAGTACTTACTTCATGCTCTCCTGGCCACCTCTGACACTTCCTCCTCCCTGAAAACAACCCATTGTTATGTCTTCAGGCTAACCAGTTTAAGCAGAAGCATAGAATTAGGCATTGGGGGTGATGGGAGAAACCCAGATGGGAGTTCTTACTGCTCTTTTCTATTTATGACACTGGTCTGGTTCCACATCTTACAGGTCTCCTTCACTACTAGGTAGATGACGCCTGCCCTTTCTCAGCTGCTGGGTTGTAAATGTCATAATGTGAATGGACACTGACACTGTAGGCTGGACAGGTTCCATCAATGCTTACCTTCTTATGATGTCATACAAATAATGGGTTTCCCTGTGACAGTGTTCGTCATACTGTGTCCTCATTACCCCCTCCACACACTGCTGCTCCTTATCAACCACAGCTCAGACACTTAACTGGATGAATACATGATGGTGAATGCACAACATATTGAAGTAATAATATGTAGAGATTATATTTATGAAAATTATGTACCAGGCACTATTCTTATTTCTACAAATAAGCTCTCTCTTACAAATGAAGAAACTAGGGCACAGGTTGTTGTCATACAAAGGGGACAGACCTATTAAGTTGAATGCAGGTATTTAACTTCAGATTTACTAAATGGAGTTTTATAGTTGTGTTTTAAATTGACAGCTGAATCTAATTTGACTTCCTTTTCCGTTTGTTCTGTACTTTCAGAAGCCAGGGTGCAGTGATTAGTGGGAAACACTGGAACCTACCAATCAGGAACTCAACATAAAGGGAGGACAATGAAGAAGATTCAAAGTAACCAGTTCCTGTTGCCCTAATGTAACAATCTTCAACGTAAAAGTACACTGAAACTTCACTGCTGTGCAACAAAGCACAGCACAGTGGGACAAATTTGAGGTCAGAGTTCTTGTGTTTAAAAATATGTGGGCAGTTCATTAAAGCTGTTGACCTGTCTCAAAATAATGTTTCATACATAAACACACATATTTATAGATATATATTAAAATTCATACTATAATGACTTTGAAGTACAGTTATCATTTTTAAGAGAAAGCAAGAGCTGGACGGTGGTGGCACATGCCTTTAATCCCAGCACAGGGGAGGCAAAGATAGGAGGATCTCTGTGAGTTCAAGGCCAGCCTGGTGACAGAGTGAGTTTCAGGAGGGGCTCTAAGCTACACAGCGAAACTTTGTCATGAAAAACTGAGGAGAGAGAGAGAAAGCGCAAACATGGTATGAGTAAGTTTTATAGACACAGAACAGCTCAGTGGGTGCAGTGTGTGTCCAGCAGTACGTTCAGTTCCCTAGCACCTAATAACCGGGTGGCAGCAGCATTCCTGTAACCCCAGCACTTGGGGTTAGAGCAGCAGTGGACGTGGTGGAGTTTATCCTCTTCTTGTATCAACTTCAAGGTCTGCTTAGGATATGTAAAACTCTTTACTCAAAAGAAATACAAATAAACACAGTAGGATCTAATAGGTTAATAAAGACCCACATTTTGAAAGAGAATGATATTGCCAGTATTTATGAGAATTGTAATGTGGTGATACATTAACATACATTGAAAAGTAGCTTTGGCTGACACTATGCTGTTTATCTCCTACATCATTAATTGAAGAAATGCAAAATTTTCTTTAGTGAAGATACAATGTTTTATCTGGGTATGGAAGGCCTATAATCCTAATCTTAGGAGATAGAAGCAGAAAGATCAGGAATTCAGGGTCATCCAGAGGCTGGAGAGATGGTTAGAAGTTAAGAGCTTTTGTTGCTCCTCCGAGGACCAGGTTCAATACAAAGCATCTTCACAGTGGCCCACAATCATCCTTAACTCCAGTTCCAGTGGATCTGATGCTTTCTGGCCTCCATGGGCACCAGGCATGCATGTAATAAATACATGAAGGCAAAACACTCACATGCATTAATCTTTTTAAAGTTTGAGGCCAACATGTATGACATGAAACCCTGTCTAAAAAGCACCCCCAGTCAATACATATTTATGCAATAAAATATAAGATTTTATATTTAAAGCTCACTTGCATATCCTGCAAATACATGATTTGGATCCCAAGTGAAGCATGTATTATTGCTTGCATAAAAATCCAATTAAATTTATACTCTCTGGTTTAAAATATCATTCCTTTCTTTTTAGTAAAATATCATTCTTACAAAGTTAAATTAATACTGTTTGAGAAAATTGTATTTTGGCAGGACATGGTGTCACACTCCTGTAATCCCAGCATTGGAGCTAGAGGAGCGCTCTGGTTGGAGGCCAACCTGGGTTACATAATAACAGGGTTTCAAAACAAAAGCTGTGCTTTCATGTTGAAAACATCATTCTAACCTTAAATTGGTAGGGTTTGGACTGTATTGAGCCGTGCACAAATCTTTGAGATTAGAAAAAAGAATTAGTGTATTTTTTTCCTACAAAAAACATATACACAAATGTTCATAGTAGCTACTAGTCATGCTATTCAAAAACAAGCAACCCAGATTCTTAGCAGTTGATTAGGGTAATGTATCTATGGAACATAACTGCACTAAAAAACAGAATACTGGCATCTGGCGGCACACGTCTGCAATCCCAGCACCTAAGAAGCAAAGCAGGAGGATCATGAATTAAGGTCAGCCTGGGCTACTACTGCTGAGTTCTAGGCCAGGCTAAAATGAGATCTGCAGAAACAAGTAGGAAGGAAAATGTTACAAGTCAACTTAAACTATCCTTGAAATAATCCCTGTAAAAGAAAAGTAAGCAGGAAAGCTTTTTCTCTTGCTTGGCATCAATTTTTTTAATGAATTCATGTGTGTGGACATGCATACTTTTTATATATTTTTCTTACATGCATCTTCTCCGGCCCCAGATGGACATCAGTACTTGTGGTTTTCTGACCTTTGGATTCACAATGAAGCTTTTATAGCTTCCTCCACTCTACCCTCCAGACCCTCAGACTTGGACTGATTTATCCCACTACCTTTACTTGTTCACCATTATATAAAAGTAACGTTTTGGGACTTAGTGGCCTTCGTGATAGTGTCAGAGCCAATGTCAGTGTTTCTTTGGAAAACTGTAATTAATGCATTCCTCTTTGCTCTTACTTTAGAACACAGAATTCAGTTTAATACTATTATTGTCACTTAGTTTCACAAAACTTAATTAGCTCTTTTGTGTGTTATCTTGAAATAAAGTCACTGTAATGTTCTTATGTTTCAAAGGCATTCTGCCTTTCAACGAAAGTAACTTACAAGTACAGTTTTTAAAAACAATCTCAGGAGCTTGAGGGATGGTTCAGCAATGAAAGAGCACTGGACTCTTTCAGAGGATCTGGTTTCTATCCCCAGCACTCACACTGTGGCTCACAACCACCTGTAATTCCAGATGTAACCCAGGTGGTCAGACGTCCTCTTCTGGCCACCACAGGCACCAGAGTACATGCAGTACACAGATACACATGTAGGGAAAATACCCATACATTCAAAACAAAACAAAACACGAATCCACTTATAATTCAAGACTGACCTCAAACTCATGTAGCCAGGCTGGCCGAAGTTTGATCCTTCTGTGTTAGATTCTGGAGTGCTGAGATCGCAGGGTACGTCATCATAACTAGTTTAGACCAAATTTTAACATAATACAGATTGTTGATAGAATAATTTGTTTTCTAACCAGGGCAGTATAAATGAGAAAGTGAGGCAGAGCTGGAAAAAGGAAAGCTCATGGGCAGTAGAAACAACACTGAAAGTCTCAAGACAACCTAGTAAGTTTGGGAAGCAACAAGTACTTTGGCTGCGTATGTGCCCTTACTGTACACCACCGAGACAAGACTGAAATATGTGACTAAGTCTTGAGATCCTTTATTCTGAAGTCGATGGAATGGAATAATTTTTTTTAACATAAAAAGGCTTAATTGGATTTTATTCAAAAAGAAAAGAATATCTATGCTAGCCATGTGGAGGATATATCAAAGTGTGATGGAAGTCTTTGAGAAGCCTACACTCATGCTTTCATGTATTTTTTTTTGTTTGTTTGTTTTGGGGGGGGTTGTTTTGTTTTTTCGAGACAAGGGCTCTGTGTAACAGTCCTGGCTGTCCTGGAACTTACTTTATAGACCAGGCTGGCCTCGAATTCAGACGTCCACCTGCCTGCCTCTGCCTCCAGAGTGCTGGGATTAAAGTACCACTGCCCAACAGGAGTACTTTCTTTTAACCCTTATGTTTACAGGGTTAAATATAGCTTGTATTTGTAAGCCAAATAAACACTTTTTTCTTTAATACTTTAACTAAACACTGTCTTGCTTTTTGTCAAGGTATTCATTAAAGCAACAGAAATGAAACTTTGAAAGGTTCTAGTAAGGGGGAAATTTTTGAAAAAAAAAAGTACTTACTTCAGAATAAAGGAATTGCCTTTCCCTTATCATCCCATATATGCCTCAGCTAGATTATATTTTAACAGCTTTATAGAAACGTAACTGACACGTACAAATCATTATATGCTTAAGGCACAGAACTTAGTAACTTACATTTTTATATACCAGAGTAGTACCACCAAAGAAAGTGTGCAATGACGTGTTACTTTGTGTATATATATATATGTATGTATAAATTATTTCTCATCTCCATTTTCAAAGGAAACCACTGGCCTGTTTTTGTGTGTGTGTGTGAATTAGTTTGTATTTTCTTTAATATTTATTTTGTGTCTGTGTGAGCATATGTGCCATCGTCAGAGGACAATTTTTGGGAGTTAGTTCTCTTTTTACCATTGCGGGCCCTGAAGATTGAATCTAGATTATCAGACTTGGTGGCAATCACTTTTACCTGCTGAGTCATCTTGTCAACTCTACTTTGCATGTTTTTAGAATTTTGAGATACAGTATACCTTTTCTTTTTTCACATAGTATAGTTTTGAGATTTACCTATGATAGAGCCCTCCAAACTTCACTGACTTAGTGTCTATAAGGAACAACTAAAGCTGCAATTACTGGAGATTTCAACTTCATAAAGCTTTTTGCCACAGAATAGTTTCCCTTCTTCTGCTTCTCAATTCAAGATTCCCTAAGGCTGAGAACCTCGGGTCTTATTAAGTAAGAGGAAATGCTAACTCATTTCTAGGAACTCAAGTAAAAACATAAGACTTTTCTTTAATGTAGAACTAGGAAGGATGTTATTCATAAACTTGGGCTGGGTGAAAACAAATTAGGCACATAAAATATCTCTGTATAGCCAGCATTCTGTACAACCAAAATTCTCTTCATTTAAGGGAAGTTAGAATAAAGTGGCAAGGGCAAAGCCAGGCTTGGTAATGCACAACTGTATCCCAGCACTCGAGAGGCAGAGGAAAGAGGATCAGGAATTCAAAGCCAGTTTTGGCACATAGTTGAAGCTAGCCTGGACTCCAGGAGATCCTGCTTCAAACTAACATCGCAAAAGGCAAAAGGCACACAAGGAGAGTGTGTTCAACCTCCAAGCCTGCTTCATAATGGATAAAATGCTGCTACCCACTTAGCACTGGCCAGTCGGTGAGATGCTATGGCAGCCGAGACACAATCACATAGACTTAGTGTAAAGATAGATCTAGTGCTAAGGTTGCTCGTTCATTATAATTTTTGAAAACACCAAGAGAAACTAACTTTTTAAGGAGGAACAGAAACTATTGTACATTTTGTGTCTAAATGAAAAACACAGACATAAGAAACACATCATGCATGTGACTTTTTAAATTATATATTTCCCAAAGCTAGGAAATCCAAGATCAGTTGGAGACATCTGGGTAAAGACCTTCCTTCTTTTCATAACATGGTGGAAAGACCAGCAAGCACATGTAAGACCAGGAGACAAGGCCTAAGGAGGACAAGCAGACTACAAATTCTCTTAAGAACCAACCAACTCACTCGATGCTATTAATCCATCACTGAAGGCAAAGACCTCATGGCCTAATTACCTTATTAGACCCTGTCTTTCAATGACTGCTGAGCTGGGAATTGTTTTCAACATAAGAACTTTGGAGGACATATTCTAACATGTAGGCATAGGAAATAATGCAGGTAACATGCAGGTCAGCAGTGTCTGGCTCTCAGGAGATCCTCCAAGCAAAGAAGGCAGAGATGCCAGGGGAGTGTCACCATGCTGGAGAGACTACTTTTCTAACATACCAGACAAGCGAATGAAGCCATCTTGGGGTCTCAAGCCTAGGCTATCACTGAGTATCACTGAAGAGCCTTAAACAATGACACCCATGTGAGCCCTACCTAAATCCAGATCCAACTTCTGAGATACAAGCACCTAAGGTACTAGTGGTGACAACTAACATGATACACATGAAGAACAGCAGTTAGGGAAGAACCTAGAACATTTTTTCTCACTAACTCATACATGTATGCAGGTTGATACATATACCTCCCCAGACCACTCCCAACACTTCCCCTCCTCACCTTCGAGGTCCTTTCCTAGCAGATGTTCAGCGAATCTTACAAAACAGACCTGAGTAAGTAAAGTGTGTGAATTTTTGTTGTTTTTAAGTAAGAGAATATAGATCCTCTTGGAGGTGACATCTTTTTAAGAACTTGAAAATTAAATAATCTCACATTGAAAATATCTAAAAATATATTAATATGCTACTAGCTAACTACCTGCTGGACATTTCTATTTTTTTTTTTTTTTTTTTTTTTTGGTTTTTCGAGACAGGGTTTCTCTGTAGATATGGAGCCTGTCCTGGAACTAGCTCTTGTAGATCAGGCTGGCCTCGAACTCACAAAGATCCGCCTGCCTCTGCCTCCTGAGTGCTGGGATTAAAGGCGTACGCCACCACCGCCCGGCTACATTTCTATAATTAAAATTAAATCTTTTTATATTCTTTAATCCTAGCTTTGGTTATAAAATATCATTTTCTATCCTGACTAACCTGTTTAGGGTGAATATCTTTCTCTAGTCACTAAGACTCAATATATTAATCTGTCTTTCATTACTTTTCCTTCATCAATCTCTAGTGCACATTGCATTTTAAATTGTATAGTGTATTTTTCATCACTAATGACAATTCCATAGGTTAAACAGAAGTGGATAATATTTCATCCAAATATTTTAGGGCCTATGAGGTGACTGGTTGTAAATAAGGAAGCAGCATCAGACAGATTAAATGACCTACCAGGGGTGACAGAATCAGAGTAATTACCAGTCTTGTGACTCTAACTTCAGCATTCTTTGCATTCTCTATGGTGACTCTCATCAACTCATATTTGGTCCATTACTGTGGATGCCTCTTGGATTTCTATTTCTACTCTTCTTTCTCAAGTCTATTTTTGCATATAGCAACCATATAAAGTATGGCTTTCATTACAGTGTTGCACAATGAAGTTATCAATGTTGTGTTATTATATAGAAGATAACCAGAGGCCAGCATGGTGTGTAATGTCAGTACTTCCAGCACTCCAGAGGCAGTACTGCAGTTTGAGACCAACCTGAGTTACCCAGAGTGAGTGAGTGAGTGTGTGTGTATAAGAGACAGAGACAGGAAAGACAGGATTCTTTAGGTTGTATTTCTGATAGTGAAGAACTAAGTTTTGCACATACTTTTGTTGCAAACAAGAAAAGCTAAATCAAAATAAAACAAGCATACCTATTTTTTTTTTTTCGAGACAGGGTTTCTCTGTGGCTTTGGAGCCTGTCCTGGAACTAGCTCTGTAGACCAGGCTGGTCTCGAACTCACAGAGATCCACCTGCCTCTGCCTCCCAAGTGCTGGGATTAAAGGCGTGTGCCACCACCGCCCGGCTAAGCATACCTATTTTTAAAGGCATTGGGAAACTGCCAAACTAGTGAAGACTGCAAGAGTTCATTGAAGTAATACAAAGAATTGGAACTATGGCCCAGTAATTGGGGCTTTTTCCAGAAAACCATGTCTCTTCCACAAGCAACTGGAAAACAAAGTAGAGCTTGCCATAACTTCACAGGACCGAATAGAAAGTGGTATGTATGTGAAATTCAGAGTTCATCAACTTCAATCTTTCAGTTAATATATATAGTCTAAGAACCCACATGATATACAGATCAGAATTTGTAATGCCTGAATCATTTTAGGACCCAGCTAAATTCTGGTGGGCTTAGAGTACTAATGGTCTTAGTCTCGCTTCACACGTGGTGGAGAAGAAAAATAATCTGTTTTCTAGATCCCACTTTTCAGCTGATCCTATTGTCTGGATTCTCAGTTGCTTTTGTTTACTGTACATGCTAGTATTCTCTCACTCTGCCAACAACTAAGTCGATGAAATTCTTTCCTAAGGCAGGATGACTGAAACACACGCTGCTGGAAGATCTGAGTCCTAGTCGAGGCCCTTAGGCGATAACTCCACTTCCCACTCTATATATTAGTGGACCAGTAGGCCATGGCCAGAGGATAGAGAGAAATCTTACGAAAAATCTGTTCCAAATACAATGTATTCTCTCAAGCAGTGGCAATCCAAATTCCTTCTCTTAATTGGATCCCTTACTCCTACCAGAAGAGTGCCCCTTTCTCTACCTTTAGGCTTTATGTTGTAAAAAGTCCCAACTTGGGGCTGGAGAGATGATTCAACAGATAAAATGCCACACAAGTACAAAGACCCATGTAAAAAGCCTATTGTGGTGTGTGTCTGTAACCCCAGTGCTGAGAGAGAGAGACAGGTTTTTAAAGCTCATTGCCCAGTCAGCCCTATCCAAATCCATGAGCCCCAGGTTCAGTGAGAGACTCTCTCAAAAATAAAATGAAGAGGATCAGGGGAGATAGCCAAAGTTCTACATGTAACACACACACATACACACACACACACACACACACACACACACGCAGAGACACAGGGACATGTCTACATAGGACACACACGGAACCCAAAGTTGTCAACAAATAATATCTGTCTCATTCATTGAAACCATGCTTCCTGGGAAGCGTTCCTCCCTTTCCTATTTGACCTACTTTCATAGTGACCTCCAAAGTTACAGGAACCTAAAAATTCTACCAGCGAGTTAGGTCAAAGAGAATCACCACCAAAATGCACATAGGAGCACACTAAAAAAATATGTACAATATTCCTGAAAGCATGCCTTCAACCAAACAGTGGAAACATATTCAATACCCATTAACAGCAAAATGGATAAACTGTGCTATACTGATAGGATAATACATAACAGTGGATGGATGAATCTCACAATGTTAAATAAAGCCAAGCACAAAATATACCATGAATAATTTAATTTACATAAAGGTTAAGTATCAATAAATACAATATTTTGTTTTAAAACTCAGAATATGTTAACACTGGGGGACAGACATGTAATAACTAAGAGACAGTAATATAGTTGTATACATAGTGTTATATATTGAAAGTTACCTTTTCAATGATGCCACTGGTGCAGAGCAATTTGGCTATTTTTCTGTATGTATGCCATGCTTACAGTAAAAGTTTATTTAAAATAAATTCATAGGGAATGGGGAAATTGTAGATACAAATACTTCTTATCTACATAGGGATCCTGTAAGCATTTTATACTTACCAAAATCTTAAATAAGTGTTTAATAGACATATCAAGTATTGACATATTAAAGATTACAATGCTCAGGTAGTAATATATCATGTAAAAATCAAAAGGAAAGCTGGTATGTGCATATAATCCTAGCACTTGAGAAGCAAAGGAAGGAGTGTGATTTTGAAGTTGGCTTTAGCGACATAAGACTCTGTATCAGGTAGTTATCTTGGTGTTTTTTTGAAAAACTCATCTTAGTGTCAAAAAAAACCAGAACTAGTTGAGAATGTCCTAAGGTAGTCAAAGAAACATGTTACTTCTCTTTCTAATGTGGTTTCAGTAGTTGCCCTATGAATACCCAATGTATTAGTTCTCTAGAGGAACAGACTTGAATGAATCTTCTATCTATCTATCTATCTATCTATCTATCTATCTATCTATCTATCTATCTATCTATCTACTTACCTACCTCTCATCTTTCTAACTAAATATCTTTATCTTTCTCTCTAATCAATCATCTATCAATCTATAGGTGACTTCTCAGAATGAATGGCAGGCTGTGGTCTAGCTAATCCAACACTGACTGTCTATTACTAGAAGGTCCAGGAATCCAGTAGCTGTTCAGTCCACAAAGCTGGATGTCTCAGCTGGAATTCAGTGTACACTGACATTCCAAAGTAGGCGCTAATGCCAAAGAGAGCAAGAGCAAGCAAGCCAAGAGAGGTAAGCTTCCTTTTTCCATATCCTTTATATAGGCTGCCCAGATTGGAGGTGGATCTTCCCACCTCGAAAGATCTGGATTAAAATTGAGCCTTCCCATCTCAAATAATTCAAGAAAAAAAAAATCCATCATAGGTGTACCCAGCAGAGTTTTGGTTAATTTTAGATATACTCCAATTGACAACCAAGAAATAGCAACCACACCCAAGACAGCAGGATTGCTGAAGTAAAAAACAAAATATTGGAATGTTCCAGTTGTAGTGGTGTATACAAGGTTATATTGGACTACCTGAGACTATTTAGAAAAAAGAAATAAAAGGGGCTGGAGAGATGCTCAGTGGTTAAGAGCACTGGCTGTTCTACAGAGGACCTGAGTTTAATTCCCAGAACCTACATGGTGGTTCACAACAGTCTGTGGTTCCAGTCCAAGGCATCTTCTGGTCTTCATAGTTATCAAGCATGCAGGTGGTGCACAGACATACATTCAGGCAAAACACCCACACACTAAAAATATATTTAAAAAGAAAATAAAACAAGATAAAAATTTTGAAGGGAATCTAAGAAAACATCCCCAGTAAGAATCTTATAGTTAGTAGGACCAAGAACATGTTTATAACTTTTATAAAAAGAATATTCAAGTGTATGAGTGTTTTTGCCTGCATTTATGTCTGTGTACTGTGTGCATCACTGGCACTTACAGAGGTAAAAAGAGGATCTCAGATCACCTGTGACTGAAGTTAAGGATGGCTGTAAGCTATCATGTGGCAGTTAGCAACTGAACCTGTTGAGCCATCTTTCCAGACCCAGGACTATCTTTTTTTTAGTGTAGCTCTTGCTATGCGACAGAAGTAGCTAGTATATGATCCATATTTTTCTAAATTTCAAGGCAAAAAAAGTTTTAGCCATATAAGCTTCCATCAAAAAAATATCAAACCAGTATCTACAAATACTGCTAAGGGGAAGCTAATCTCCCACATACCCCAAACAAAAACAGTGTAATTCGGTTTTATATGAAACTCAAAAATATACAAAACAACACAACTACAGTTGGTAGTATTGCAAGTGTGGTTATCAAGAATACACAGTCTCTCTGGCTGTTAGGCATATCGTGTATGTTGACAAAGGGTACTGAGTACACTCAACTGTAACCTAGCACTTGAACATCTTATTGTACTTTGAAGAGAGGGACATCCTTTTTATCCTAAATGAAAAACTGTAGAGATCTTAAGAATGTCACTCAACAAAGCATACTTTGCTCTTGTCAAAATGAGTTAAAAGAAATAAATAGCCAATGTCCTTTCTAAAATGTTCTTCTTCACCTTACTCTACTTTCCACTTAGCCCACTGGCTCAATCACTTCCACAAGGATGGCACGCATACCTATCAGCAGAGGTTATAACAGATAGTCCAGAGGGCAAGAATGCTTTAACAAAGAAAAAAGAAAAACAAGCTGCCAAAAGGAATGAAATTCTAATATAAATGCTGACCTTTTAAATCATCACTTTTTGGTGTATTATTTGTATTGCTGTACCACAGCTCATGAACATTCTCTATATCCCAATACCTGCAATTTCCATTGCACCTGACAACCTGACCTGGTGAAAAAGGATAGACAGTAATTTTTTCAAGGTTTTCATTATCTGCTACTTTTCTTTTTAGTGTTTTAGGGAAAGATGATCAGAGATTAGATTTAAGCATTTCAAAAGACAGTTTCCACTTTAAAATACCAATAAAAAATAAAGCTACTTGACATCACGTTAGCATACGAAATACTGTATGCTATAGAACTCTTTAAGTTCTGATACATTGACCAGGTACTTACTCTAGTCTCCCCTCAGCTTCCTAGTCCTTGTGATCTGTTTAAAAAAAAAATTAGCCAAGACCCATGATAGTGGAAAGGCAGATTTTATTGAACGGTATTGTAGTGCACTCACAAAGGGTCAAAGTGGGCAGCAACCAGAGGGAGCGCTGCAGAGGTGAACAGTTTCAAGAGGCAGTGAACAACAGCTTAGAAATTATGGTGCTGTGACATGTTTTAGAAGTTGGCATTGTACAATTTGAGTCTCTTAAGTTTCTTGGACAATTCTCCTGACGGTTATTTTCCTAACAGGCCCATGTGGATGAAGTCTTAAGGGAAAAATGGTTATGTCTTTGTTCTTAGGAGAAGCCCCCTCCTCAGCATCAGATGGCAAACTTAAGATCTTCGAGTCAGTCAGAATGCCAGCTTCCCACCAGGGCCAGATGGGATTTAGATCCCATTCTTTGTGACCAGCAATCAGAGCTGCAGTTCCAGTTCCTAGGATTGTAAGGGGCTGACTGAAAGAGGGGTCCATCTTCAGCGGCCTTCAAGCCTGCTGATCTAACTTACCCAACAGCAGATCCAAAGGGACCCTTAACCCCACAACGAGTGCATGACTCTGGCTAGTCTGACTTGAGCCCAAAGAGTAAAACTTCACAAATACTTTTAGGTTTTAGAAGAAGCAAGCCCTTGTAGCAAAGAAACAAGACAGGTGTGGTAGACCCGGTATTTGGAAGATGAAGATTGGAGGGTCGGAAGCTCTAGCTAAACCAGCTTCCTGACCTTGAAGACTGCCAGGGTGACAGGACAGTCTCAAAACAAAAGATAAACTCTCATTTCCCCCCCCCCCCTTTAAACAAAACAAAACACTTCCCCCGAAGCGTTTTAGTCAACTCACCCTCAGAGGGAACTGAAAAAAAAAAAAAAAACCGAAATCTAACCACGGATTATTATAATTTGTCAGAGTGGCCGGAAGGAAAAAAAAAGCCTTAGGCTACTTGAGCAGGACTGACCAAAGTTACGGAGGAAAAGTCACTAGGTAGTTCTGCTTTGTGTGTCTTTTAAACCCCGGCTTACAAGGCAGGTGAAGCCGGGGTCTGGGCACTGCACAGGGTTGGGGTGCTCTTATACAGTTCGCAAGGCCGGGCTGGGGCACTGCGCAAGTTGGGGTGCCTTTAGAGCTTGTAAGACCGAGGCCGGGGGACTGCGCAAGTTGGGGTTCCTTTAGAGCTTGTAAGGCCGGGCCGGGCAATGCACAGATTGGGGTGGTCTCCCTGAGCCTGCAAAGCCGGGCTTGGGCACTGCGCAGGGTTGGGGTGCTCTTGGAGCTTGCAAGGCCGAGACCGGGGCCCGCAGCCCGCTGGGGGGCCCGTGAGGCCAGAGCCGCACAAAGCGGAGGGGCCGGGAGACACTCACTCTGGAAAGGCGGCTTCCGGGGAGAGAGCACCGTCCCTCGCCTCTGCCCGGCGCGCGGGTGCGTGGCAGGCCGGGCTCCGCACGCGCTCCGCAGCGCGCACGTCACTCGCCGCGCGCCAATCGCTGCCCGCCTGGCCACCTCCCGCCCGAGCCCGCGAGCCCGCCGGCCGCTTCCGTCTCACGCAAGCGTAGCAGCCGGGCAGCGGACGCCGGCGGCAGGATGGTCCTGGACAGCGTGGCCCGCATCGTGAAGGTGCAGCTGCCCGCCTACCTCAAGCAGCTGCCGGTCCCCGACAGCATTACCGGCTTCGCCCGCCTCACAGGTACCCCTCCGCAGCCGTGCATCCGTGCGCGCCGCCCCGTGGGCGGGGGTGGGGGTGCTCGGGAGACAGCGCGGGGCGGGGCGCCAGGCCTTGCACGTGACCCGGGGCCCGTGTGCGCCTGTGCGGCGCCGAGCAGCCGGGTGGTGGGAAGGGTACCTTGCCGAGGCGACCCCGCAGGCGGATGTAGAGGAGGAGGTGCTGAGTTCGGGGCGGCGGGTCTCCTTCCTGTGCCCACTACCGCGTGCATTTTGTGAAGCACTTTGTGTCCTCCTCAGGAGGCGCCCTGCGCGCTGGGGAGAAGCGCGGCCTCCACGCAAAGCGTGTGTGATGCTTTCATAAACGAGATCCGAAGTGACCTCTGTTCTCCGTGGTATGTGGAGGCTTGAGGTCACCTCCATAACTACAGCTCCTGGAGCAAATGCAGGTGGATAAAAAGTAGCCAAAAAGTAGTCCCAAGACTGGTATGATTTCAGAACATGAAATTAAGTGGGTCGAGGTCCTGCCTGTGTGAAAAGGTTCCCATAATGCAGTCCTTCACGTCTTGACTCTAAGTCCGCTATCTCCAGACTGTATAGGGTGGTGACAAGCCCCGAGAATCTGGGGTTGCAAAAATGAATTAAGGTAAGTAAGTAGGTCTGATTATCCTGCAGCTTTTTAGAAATAGCTGACTTAAAATACAGTCATTGGAAGCCTGATGAAAGAAAAATAAAATTGAGTCCGTGAACCAGAAGATGGAATTGTGAGGATATTTGGAGACGGGTGTCAGCTCCATTTCAGCTGCTCACTACTTTTACTTGAGTACTTCCCTCAAAACGAGTTCCCTCTCAGGGATGACGGGTGACAACAGAAAAGACTTGTCATAGATTTAGATGGATAAACTATCACACAGACTTTAACAAACTTAGGGATTTTTATTGTTAGCGACAGCTGCTCCATTAACTGAGTAGGTGGAGTTTTTAACACTTCACCATTAAGAGATCCAGTAGAGTGCACAAAATCGATGAGAAAGCTTGGCAGCTGACTGTAAACGGTAAAGAAACATGTCGACACCCCAAGTGACCTGAAAATAACAAAAGAAACGATAGTCCAAATCTTCAGTTCTCCATAAACATCAAAATCCCTTGTTTTAAGAGACTTGATTTTTTAAAATCAAGCATGTAAAGAATGGACTTTCCCGCCTTTGTCGTCTCTCTACTTACGCACCGTTTTAAGTGTGATCCTTCTGCAATTTAACAGTTACTAATCTCGTGCTTTGTGATCACGCCTCCTTATGGCCTGAAATTTAGAATTTTTTAAAAAAATTAGCTGTAGTAGTTTAATGTTAATTAATTAAATGGTTGGTTTTCCCGTTTGAATTATACCCTTAAATGTATTCACTAAATTGGCAGTGCAAAGCCGAAGGGGTGCAGTCATTTTGTGGCGTTGATCAGCTTTGCCAGTTCTTTCTTCAATTTATTTATTAAAAAAAGAAAACAGTTCATTCTAATAATACACATTAATTAGATTTCTGACAGTCAAAAAGGGGAACAGTTTTTCTCTCACACCAGTGTGGGGCAACTTGCTTTATATATGTTGGTTATGACATATTAGTTTCAATTTTTTATAGATGATACGACACAAGAGTTTAGTGGAAGGAATACTTTATAAGCATGATTCCTTACAGGTCCCTCCTGTCGGCAAATACTTAATCCTTATTAAAGACATTAAGGAACTTCAGCCCTAACTTTCCCCTCCTAAATGAATAGTGTGTGATGACTGGCACTTTAAAACATTTAATGTAGGACTGTTTCTCAACAGTCACACAACTCCCAGTCTATTTGGTTTTGTTTTCAGTCCTGGTCTCCTGTAATGCAGGCTGGCTTCCGTCTATAGCTGAGGATAGTCTGAGCCTTCTGCCTTTTCCCTCTGACAGGCCTGGTTAAGTTGGCACTTCAGTAATAGCTGTGTAAGCCCCAGTTCAGCACCTACAAGTCTAGTTATCATAACTTGTGTTAGTAACTTGTCGGAGAATCATCGGCCTACTGGTAATACAGTGTTCTTTCTGTTTTGAGTGCGGCAGCAGCAGCGCGAGGCCCTGTCCTGGAGGCTTGGTGAAATCCTCAAGCTGTCTCCCCTGCAAAGGAGATTGTAATAGTTAGTGACATTTCATTCTCTTGAGTGAGCGACTTGTAGGATGTAAAATACAGATTTTCATTGAAATAAAAACTTAGAAGACAGCTTTAATAAAAAGAAACAACCTTTTGTTGTTATTCATGTTTTCCTATTGAGTTTGAGGCCACAGAGAGTTCTAGGATAGCCAGGGCTACACAGAGAAACACTGTCTTGAAAAAAAAAAAAAACAAAAACGAGTTTTTCAAAGTAACACAAGAATACCAGCCTGTAATAAGTTTGTTCCTATTATTGTCCAAGGGACAAGTTTTGAACCTGTAATTTAGAAGCAGGATAAGATTGAAAACATACATCCATCAAAGATCTTCTTCATGTGTATTTGTACCACCCTTGTTTAGAACGGCCTTCCATATTGGAAGCAACCCAGATACCTGCCAATAGGAAAATAGGTCATGGTCATAAAGTAGTGTAGTGCAGTGGTCAGCAGTAAAAAGAAGCGAGTTTCTAATCCACAAATTGAATATCAACAACTTTTTTGTTTTGTTTTTTTTTCTTTTTTTCAAGAAAGGTTTTTACTGTGCAGTCTTAGAACTCACTCTGTAAACCAGCCTGGCCTCAAACTCAGAGACCCACCTGCCTCTGCCTCCTGAGTGCTGGGATTAAAGGAGTGCGCCACCATCACCCGTTGACAACTTTATGTTGGATAAAAGAGTATTTAGTTACAGAAATCAGTAGTGGAGGAATATTCTAGACAGATTCAGGAAATGACTTTCTCAGGTAAACAGATATTTACAGAAAACTTTACTGGTGGACACAGGGGTACAGTTACTGGTCACAGACAGAACGAACTGCTTAGTATGTTTATTTTACTCTAAATTATACCTCAGTGTTTAAAATGTGGGACCATGGTGAATTTTCTCAATAGGAGAACATAAGTAACAATAAAAGGAGTTGTTTTTTATTAACATAACTGCTGAAAGTTTGATTTTAGAAATCTTTTGAAAAATCTAAATCTTTGGAATCTTTTGGGAAATACTTATACAGATATTTTTAGATTGTAAGTTTTCTGTTCTCCTAGTTCAACTATTCTTAAAAGCAGTGTAATTAAGACTGAACTTAGCCTCTGTGGAGAACAGTGTGGGGCTCAAACGTTATCTGCCATATAGCTCTTTCAAAGTCTAAGTTTCCTCAGGCTCTCACAGATCATTGAGTACTTGTGATAGGCCGTGCAGCTTCCTAGGTACTAGCATACTGCTGTGCTCATAATAGAATGGGGGAAAACTTTACAATTGATTAAGTTTATTGGCCCTTTGCTCTTGAGATAGTTAGGCTTTAGGTGATAATAATAAAAGCTGTTCAGTGATATTCGTAACTTTCCCCCAGCACTAGAGAAATTGAGATGCTGACTGCTGAAACAGGATTGGCAGTTTGAATCTAGACTGCATTACTTACCTGAGTTCCAAGTCTAGGTAATAGGAACTTGTGTTATACCCCATACTTCAGTCTTTTCCCCTCTCCCTCCTTTCTTTTCTTCTCCTCCCCCTCAAAAATTATTATTTATGGGTGTAGGTGTTTTGCCTACATATCTATCTGTAAAACCACATATTTGTGCCTGGTATGTGCCTGGAGGACAGAAAAGGGCATTGGATCCCCTGAAACTTGAATTACAAACAATCGTGAGCCATCATGTGGGTGCTGGGAAGTGAATTCAGATCTTCTGGAGGAGCAATAAGTACTCGAAACCTCTGAGCTGGCTCTCAAGCCCCTTTCTCTGTTTTAGGTCCAGGTGGGATTAGTTTCTTCTGGATCCTGTCTTTGTGGGTGTTTTGTTTGTTTTTGTTTTTTGAGACGTGGTCCGTAGCCAAGGTTGCTGTGATCCTATCTCCGAGTGCTGGGACTATGAGCTTTCAGTAGGATTCTCATCCTCTGCTCTTGCTCACTGCCTTCCTCCGGTGGGTCTTCCAGCAGAGTCTAGCTTGACTTCCTAAGTAGGTAATTTTCTAAGTACATTCACATACATCAGTAGATTCCTACCTACCCATTGCATATCAGAACTTCTCATCACGTGACACTTGCTCAGGCCTTTAATCCTTCTCTTCTCCCATAGTATTCCAAAGATAGCATGGCCCTGAGTGTCCCTGGGCTTTGGTGAGTGTCTGCACCTGGCCTGCAGCTTCTTCAGCTGGGTGTGCAGCTCCTCCCTTTGTTTGCCTAGGAACTGTTCTCTTACTCAGCATTCAGGAAGGCCCATACAGGATCCAAAGCCAAATTATTCTGTTCATCTCAGCAATGAATTATCACCTCTCTTCTGCGTGACTGATATGTAATTGCTCATATTTTGCAGTATTGTAATCCTTTTTTATACCTCTGTATTCCGTACAGATGGAAAGCGCTTTTTAGTAGTTTGTGTATTATATTGGTGTCTTTGAAACCCAGTCCTTCCCCTAGCATGTGAATGAGGGTTCTGCTAGTTTCAGAGGCACGAGAAGCTTTTTGCTTAAACACCTTAAAGCCTTTCTCTACCTTAATTTTGGAAGCCATAGAGAAAGGTAAACAAACACGATAGGAATGATCTGTATGCCAGTTTGATGTTGGTGTACGCAAGTCTGGTAGGGAGCGAGCGGGACCTGGGGTCTCTTGGAGAGGAGACCTGTGGACTGCAGCTTCGTGGAGGAATGTGTCGCTAGCTTCCTTTCAGATAGTGCTGTGCAGTTTTTGCTGAGTGAAGAGTGTCTGCAAGGTTTCACAGTTCTGTGTCTTGAAGATCCTTGAGTCTGTGAGCCTTTGGCTTCCCACTTTTCAGGTCTCTGCCCGGTTTCTTTTTTTCAGAAGCCTTTCCTGACTCCCTGACCTGAGGCTGCAGTCACCTCACTGCTGTGCCACCAGGTTGGTTGGTCGGTCGGCTTGTTTTGTTGATTTTTATGTCGCCTTGTTTGTTTTCTTCACGGCTCTTAGTCCAGCCTGTGACTGTATTACCTGTATTTTGCTTCCTTACCACCTGCCCCTCCTCTCATTATCTGTTAGCAAGCATCCCCATTCCTAATGCAGTAACCGGAATAAACTTAGTAAACATTGCCCTTGAAGCGAATAGATGATTGTTATTCCTGTTTTACAGACCAAGGGAGCCTGGACTTAGACTAAAGATAAACAGTAATCGAGTCGTTTGCTGCATTCCTGCTCTTTCCCAGACACCGCATGCAGCCCTGCTGTGTTTGCACTGCCAGTGTCTCCACAGAGTGGCTACTTAACACTTACACAGTAAAACTTGAAAATTGATTTGTAAGAGAAAATTGATGAGATTGCATTCAGAAAGTATTTATTATGCACTGATATTTTTTATGTGCATGTAGGCATACTCATATGTGTGTTGATGCACACGTATGCACTTGTGTGTGGAAGTCAGACGATAACCTTGAGTGTCATGCTCAGAATGCAGTCTGCCTACGCTGAGACACAATGTCTCATTGGTGTGGAACTCACCAATTAGGCTAGACTGACTGGCCATTGAGCCTTTGGGGTCCTCTTGTCTCTGCCTAACACTGGGATTACAAGCACTTATCACCACACCTGGGTTCTGGGAATTGGACTCAGGGCTTTGTGCTTATAAGACAGGTACTTTATTTTCTGTACTGTTTATAATTAGTGATTCCTCCCTCCCCAGAGTAACTAGTATAAATAAAAATTGTCAAAGCAAGTAGCTTAGCTTACAGGATTTTTATTTGTTTGAGTCTTTTGTACTTTATATTCTTTAAGTAAAATCATCTTAGCCAGGCATGGTGGTGCACTCCTTAATCCCAGCACTTGGGAGGCAGAGGCAGGTGATCTCCGAGTTGGAGGCCAGCCTGCTCTACAGAGTGAGATCTAGGACAGCCAGGAGAGAAGCACAGAGAAATCCTGTCTCAAAAAATTTTTGAAAATTAAAAAAAGAAAGAAAGAAAAAGGAAAAAATAGTCTTATTAAATATACGCAAAGCAGTTAAATTATGCTCTATATGCTTGTTGTTTTTACTTATAAAACTTTTGACTTAATACAACTTCAAAAATAGACTGTATTCAGTGTTTTTATGTTATTGCTTTGTTATAGGAGGTAACAATACCTCTCATATCAGATTTGTATTATATTTTTTTAGCGTAATGGATTACCAAGGAATTAATTGTTCATAAGGGCAGTTTCTGAAAGACTGGCAATGTCGCTCAGTTGGTAGAGTGCTTGAAAAGCAGAGGGTCTAGTGCTGCATGAGTCAGGCTTGTCAGCAGGAGGTAGAGCCACTCATTCCCTGATAAGGTTCCTATGTGAAATAATAACAAGAATAAAATTAAATCATACATATTTAATAGCCTAGGGTCCAGGGACGTAGCATGAGAACCTGGGGATGAGTCCCAGCACCCGAGAAGCCTTAGTTTTAGGGGCCAGAGGAGGCAGATCCTGAGGGCTTGCCAGGCAGTCAGCCTAGAAAAAGGCAAGTTTCTGACACAACAGGAAACCCTCTCTCAAGGTGGTGAGTCAGAGATACAGAAGAAAATACCCATCTCTCCTGTGTTTGTGGATACCACAGGAACAGCATGTGCTTCGTGTTTAGTGACTTGAAAATACTACATTGAATAATACTTAATATTTTTCTACATTCAGCAACTATTTGCTTATATAAATAAGTTATTTAATTTCCATCTCTAGCTTTGTTTTGAATCAAAACTACTTTCTTTTCTTTTTGGTAGGCCAGCACTCTACCCCTGAGCTCCATCCCCCACGTTTTCGTGTTGTAGGAGTAATTACTAAGCTAATGTTTGTAGTGTCTTCAGAGTAGTCCTTCCAAGAGAAAAACATTTAATTTTAGATCTGTGGAGCTTGATTCATGGTGACTTAGAATAGGCTTGGATTTGGGCTGATGAACTAATCCTGTCAGCACTACATTTTATCTACAAGTGACAAGAGAGTAATATTAAAATGATGTCATTGTCAAAGCCAACAGCGTGTTAAATGAGTTGGTTCAGTTGCCTCTGGAGCACGGCCTATCACTTATCATTGATATTTGTTAGCATGCTTTGGCACATAATCTTTCCTAAGCTAGGCTGCAGTGCCTAGCAGGGTTGGGATTGGTCAGCAAGGACGCCCAGAGGTGCCTGGGAGCATTCTCAGGCCTCTGAGAGCCATTTCGTCTGCCTTGTCTGTATCTCTCGTGTTCTAGAGACCTTCTAGATACTGTAAAAGGTATTAAATAAGTATTTTAATGAGACTATCCAATATATAAAGGTTTCAATTCATTAGCCTGGCTTTTTAAAGGATTTTTTTTTTTTTTACTTAAAAAGTAAGTTGAAACATTTGAGGCTGTGTTCTGCCTGAAATTATAAGTTAGTAGTAAATTTTTTTGTGGAATTTCCATTGTATGGTTTTAGACATGGTATTAGGAGAAAAGAGTGAACATGTTTCCTAAACTTAATAAGAACATCTTTGTTCATAATTATGTTCATTATAAGTCCAGTAAAAGTAAATATAAGCACAAATATACTTAGCAGGTATGAGATAGGATATTTAAAATAGTACCTCTTCCAAAATTTTCAGTTTTTCAAATGGAGTTAACCTACAAATAAAAGAAGATAATCCTAGTAGGGCTGGGTCTCTTGTGTTTGTGCAGTCGTGAACTTGACAGTCTGTGTTCCTGACGGAGCTCTGCAGACGCTGACAGCTGTGCTTGTGTTCAGTTTCAGAATGGCTCCGCCTGCTGCCCTTCCTTGGTGTACTTGCACTTCTCGGCTACCTTGCCGTGCGTCCATTCTTCCCAAAGAAGAAACAACAGAAGGATAGCTTGATTAATCTTAAAATACAAAAAGAAAATCCTAAAGTAGTGAACGAAATAAACATTGAAGATCTGAGTCTTACTAAAGCAGCATACTGTAGGTGTTGGCGTTCCAAGACGGTAAGATGTCCATTTACACATACAATAACGTTGTTTGGAGTTCTTTAGGATTGTCTCAATCTCCAGTTGAAATTCTGTGAGATTAGGGATTTCCCCATATTGTTCAGTATTTGAAACTGATATTCCCAAGTTGAAGTTTGACCTTTTTTGCTTGATAGAATTAGAAGAGAGCAGTGAATTCTGATGCTCTCACGTGGCTCAGCATTTGTCTAGAGCAGTATATTTTATTTTTTTTAATTTTTATTTTTTTTTATTGATTCTTATTGAGCTCTACATTTTTCTCTGCTCCCCTCTCTACCTCTCCCCTCCCCACTTCAACCCTCTCCAATTTACTCAGGAGATCTTGTCTTTTTCTCCTTCCTCTTGTTTGTTGTTCATTTGTTTTTTGCAAGAGAGAGTATTTAAGATTTAATGGGAAGGAGCTTAAACTTTGATGTCAGAATAAGTAATTACTAAGATGCCAATCTGTCATTTGGGCAGGTTAAGCAAATTTGCTAGCTTGGTTTGGTTTGGGTCAGTTTCTCTGTGTCTCTGTTTGTCTGTCTATCTGTCTTTCTCAACAGGGTTTCACTATGTAGCACTAGATGGCCTAAAATTGATGGTATTCATCTAGAACTCACAGACACTGCTGCTTTTGATTCCTGAGTGCTGGGATTAAAGGCTAATATGCCTACCCTGACTTAATTAACTTTTAATCTCTGGTTTGTAGAGTTGTTTTGCTTTTGTTGTTTGTTTTGTTTTGTTTTTTTCAATCTTCTCTATAGGTCTTGCAGATATTTTTGAAGCTTTAGTGAAATGATACATGTAAAATAGCTCACATAGTGTAGCTATGCTAGCCATAATAACGTAGCTTTTAATGAAAAAAATGGATTTTGGGTGGTAAGTATTCTAATTGATAAAATCTGTTTTGTATTTGGTGAAGGTTATTTGAAACTTTAAATGTTTCTGTTTTATTCTTTTTAACAGCAAAGTTTTAGAAACAATATAATAGGCAACAGTCAAAGTATAGGAAGTCACAACTGATGGGATGTTGGGAAGTCAACACAAAGTATAGGAAGTCATAACTGATGGGATATTGGGAAGTCAACACAAACCATGTTTTAAAGAAATAGTTAATGGCAAGATGGTTCTGTGGATTAAATTTTTGCTGCAAAGGCATAAGGATCTCTCAGTTCAACTCCTGGACTTTTGTTACCCCAGCACTGGGGTAGGGGTTGGGGGAGGACGGACAGAGACAACAGGCTCCCTGGCCAACCAAGAGTGAAGTCACAGGTTCAACAAGTGGCCCTGTCTCAAAAATTCAGGTGAATAAGCATTTGAAGAGGACATCATTATGTCGGTCTCTGGCCTCTACTTGTGTCCCCATGGGCAAGCACGTACATCTGATGCACAGGCCCCCAAACATATGACATGAGGTCCTGCCTTAATAGAAGAAAAACATAATACAGTAGGATCATAATTTTCCTTTTAAATTTTAAATTCAGAGGAAAGCCTATAATAAAATACTAATTATAAATATAATATTTGGATGGATGAACATTTAATAACACCTTTAATATTTTTCAGAAACTTTGCAGAATGGATTTTATAAGAAAACATTGTAACATTTATACATTTATTTTTTTTTAATTCAAATAAGAAATTAGCTCAAACGTAGAGCTCCATAGAGAACAAGAGCTTATTTCAATCCCTTTTTGAACTTTTATACTCACTGAGATGGATCAGCAAAGATTTTGTTTTATTTTGGTTTGGTTGTTTTATTTTTCAAGACAGAATTTCTATGTGTAGCCCTGACTGTCCTAGAACTTACTCCGTAGACCAGGCTGGCCTCAAACTTAGAGAGATCCACCTGCCTCTGCCTCCCGAGTGCTGGGAAAGATTCTTCTTTTCACTCTACATTGCCTGTCTGCATGGAGTGTGGTGGCTGGGATGGTGGGCGTGTGCTGTCGTGGCACACTGGCTGCATGAGCATCTCACGGATGTCTCTACTTCATGAATCCTGTTGTAAAATAACATTTGCAATTCTTTTTCCCTTTTAGTTTCCTGCCTGCGATGGGTCCCATAATAAGCATAATGAATTGACAGGCGATAACGTGGGTCCGCTCATACTGAAGAAGAAAGAACTATAACAGTAGCCATTTAGGATTGAAATTCTTGTACTCTTTCCTCGTTTGTTGTGCATAGAAAGTCTTTGGAGGTTTTACCTGTCAGTACTGGTTGAATAATTCTTTCTGCCAATTATTTTCTTGCTACACTACTGCTTATATTTGATACTTTATATAATCAGTCCTGAAATCAAGAGTTAATAAAGTCAATACTTCAGATTATAATTAATTGGGAATTTAAAGTTTGGCCAAGGGCCGAAAGTTATTTCTTTGCATATCAGTATTTCAACAGAATGTATATATTTTTTAAAAAAGTTCTCCCCTGTTCTGTTAAATGTATTTTTGTACTATTTTGTTTTGCTCATTTGAAGTAGTTTGTCATCCTTTGGCCTTTGTGGAACTCTGATGTTTTTAGATGAAGTATGAAAAATATTGCCATCAAGAATTTCTTTGGGGCAATAAAACCCCTTGTTTTATAGATATTCTTGTCTCATTACTATGATTATCTCAATTTGTAAAGTAAATCAGATATACAAATGTTCCAGCGAGAAACAGTTACTTACATCATAAAAAATTGATCACCATACAAAAGGCTTGCTCAGTATGTGTGTGTGTGTGTGTGTGTGTGTGTGTGTGTGTGTGCTGTTTAACTTGGTGCCAGCTGGGCAGTGAGAGCACTTACCGCGAAGGTCTACTTATGAGCTACAGTATGAAGGTCAAGTAGATGTAAAGTATCTGAATTTGCCTTAAAATAACCCATACTCAATTGTGTTTTCTCATTTTTGTAGTCAGTTACAGAGGAACAGGGCAACAAAATATTAAGTCACTTGTAATTTAAGGGGTTGAGTATGCACATACTGAGAGAAAAAGTTTTGGTCTTTTTTTAAGAAGTGATTGCTCCTTTATTGCATTAACTTCACAAAGCATAGACAAAATGTTTGTGTGCGTCATGGCAGAAGAGCGCCTGCGAGGACATATGGCACAGCGTGATCTGTGCTGCCAAGGAGGATGACTCAGACAGCAAGGCTTACTACTTTTACTTTCCATTCCTCTCCTGATCCCCCACACAAACATTTATATACTTTATAAATTGTTTTTAAAATCAAGACTTTGAATAAAATTGTCAAAACACAATGAAGCTTTCTAGAATTGTCTAAAGAGAGGTAGGATGGAGGCAGCATTGAGGGATCCTAATGCAGATGGACTAGACACTAGCTGTGCAGGGAAGTCAGCTGGGCAGGTGTTACTGGCCGATACTGCAGACAACAGCACCACAGCAGAACCGCTCATTTCATAACTGAAATGATACACTGTTAAGGGTAAAATAAGGATATATAACAAAGGTGAAATTTAGTTTAGTACTTGAGTTCTGCCATAAAACACGTTACCTCCAGGAGCAGGGGAAAAGCAGAACAGTTATATTTGGGGACACTTATTGGTCAGGTCTGCTGGGTTAGATGGGTCATCTCTAGGGTTTCTTATTAATTTAATGAGCATATAGTGAGCCTGGTGCCACATATATAATACATTCTGTTCTCTTTCATTAGCGATTATATCTAGCTGTTTGAGAAAGACTAGTGATGGCAAGCCAAGTCTCCATGCTGAAAGGAAAATGGTTATAAATCAATTTATCACGCAATTAAATTACATTGACACATTTTATAGTCTTAATGTTTGTGAAGTGTGAATGTGAAAACATTTGTTTTAACATTAAAACATTTGTCTATTTAGACATGTTTTAGAAAGGATTTTTTTTTGTGTGTGTGTATGAGTGCTTGTTTGCATGTATCTATGTCTGTGCACCGTGCACATGCCTGGTGCCCAAGGAAGGCAGAAGAGAATGTTGAGTCCCCTGGAACTGGAACTAACTGATGATTGTGAGCCACCATTTGGGTGCTGGGAACTGAACCCCGGTCCTCTGCCAATAGCACCTAGTACTATTAACAACTGAGCCATCGCTATGGCCCTGCAAAATTTTTAATAAAATAAATAAACACACTTAAATGAAGAGGTAGTGATAGTTTGAAACCAGAAATCAAGAACTGGAAAAGGGGTCATAGTATTATGAAAGTCAAGAGCGGTACAAATTTGTTTTATGTGCATGCAGTCACTTTTATGGTACTAGGGATGGGACCAGGGCTTCACCCATGCAGGCAAGAGCTCTTTGCACTGAGCTCCCTCTTGTGTCTTTTTAACAATAGAAACTATTGAAACAAAGTTTTCAACATAGGTTTACTGGAAATTTTGAATTGTCATTTTAGCCAGCTGTCGGGCAGCTCTTTAGTTTTATTTTACATTACAGTTGTCATGTAATGGCTACCCATAAACTATTAAAGATACAGTCCACTCAGTTCATGATTTTTATTTTTAGTTTTCTGTTGTCTATGTGTGTACCTGTGTTTGCAGATGTGTTTACCTGTGAGCGTAGAGACCAGAGGTCAGTGTGGGTTATCTTCCTCAATGGTTCTCTCCCTGAATCTGGAGCTCACAGATTGGACTGGGCTGGCCAGCCTAGTGAGCCTCAGAACTGCCCCGTCCCCATCTTCCCAGCACCCAGGTTACAGTCGTGCACTGCAGTAAGCACTGGGGACCAGAACTCAGATTCTGGTACTTATGTGGCGAGCATCTTATTAACTGAGCTGTTGCCTGAGCCCCTCGTCTTTTTCCACAGAGGTATAGGAGACAGACATTCCATGTTTGTGGTAATGAAGCTAAGAATTACTGAGTATACTAAACATTCCATTAAGCATGTAATGGGATCGTAAATGTATCTCATGTGTTGGCAGTGGGTTCCACAGTGTGCTACTACCTTCCTCAGGACCAACAGCGAGAACCTAAAGCTAGATTTGGAAAATATCTGTGCTGGGGGAGCTTTATAAGGTCTGTGCCCAAACCCTTAACTCCTCCTCTTCCTACCTGCCACTGGGACTAGTAGAGCATTCATCTTCGGTGGCTGTGCCTTCTCGTTTGTTTTCTGAGACCATTTGCCCCTAGTGCCTTCACTGGCAGATTAACCAGTTATTCTTCCACAGTTGGTCACAAGACGCTGGAATAAAGTCCTCGCCAAAACTTTGGATCCCTTGTCTGTGGTCCCTCTGCTTCTCTGTCTGGAGAGCATGCGGCTCCCAGTGACGTTCTGCTAAAAGCGTTGCGGTTGCCATACTTTCTGTTCCACAGGAGGCAAATTTATTGGAAGTTGGTAGTCTAAAATGAAATGATCAACTTTTAATTTTGTCAAATAGAGTAGTGAGAAAAGTGAAATCTTTTTCCCGAAGATAATTTTAGTGCCCAGAGAGTAAAACGGTTTTTCCCTCCTACGTTTTCCACTTTTGAACATATTAAGTTGTTGCTGTGCCCAGAATCCACATCTGGCAGCAGGCTGGTGTTTTATTAAGCTTTGCCATGAGCAGTAGAGTTGCCATCATCTGTATGTTCACAGAATTCTATCCTGCACCTTACATAGGCACTGAACAATCAAACACATGATGATCCTCTTAGTTCTTAAAGTATGTCCCGAGCATTCTAGAACCTTCGAGAAACAGCTGTTGTTACGACTGCTGTGAGGGCCACCTAGCCTGCTGACCTAGAGAACTACTCACCCTTGCTCAGCAGATAAGCACCACCCTCCCAGAATGCCAGGTAGCCAAGAGCGTTATCAGACTCGAGGGAGATGACTCACTGTGCATAGTTAAGCATGTTGTGTTGTGGAAAGCGTGTTACAGCTCAGCTCTCAGTTTGCTACCTCATGATTCACTGGAGTGCTTTTGTATTTTGTAACTGCATTTATTAATAAGTTTATAGGAAGCCAATTAAGCTAGCTGCTGATCTGTGTAATTTTTCTCAGTCTTTGATTAGAAGTGTATTTAGTCTGTATCCCTAAACAAACATTTTTAAAGCTCCTTCCTAAAAAACAAAACAAAAACAGGGCACAGTTTTATTTGATACCTACCCAACATGTTTAACTAATTGCATTTCAGTCATCTAGATTTAGATTCATCAGGGATTGCATCACCAATAGGAAAAAGCCCAAAGGTGTGTTCACACAGTGTCCCAAAGCCAGTCAGTGTCTGAGTCTTCTTCCATCTTCAATCTCCTTTATTTTTTTCTTCAGAGCAAATCCCAGTAAGTTTGGTTATCTGTTTCCTGTTCCTAAACAAATCACCAGTATCAAGAAGCTTCTATCCAGAAACAGGTAAACAAAATATGCCTGTGACTGCCGGTAGGAAAGATGACAAAAAAAACAAAATTGAAAACGAAAGGCCAGTAACGTGAGATTTAACTGAGAACCATGTATCTCTCTGCCCCTAAGGACATCTGTGTGATCAAATTACACAAGTAGTGTTTGATGATAAATTTGAATGGAGTAGTGTGTGGCAGTCGAGAGGCAGGATGTTACATTCACTGATACTAGTGCCCACTTTGAGTTAAAAGTTTAGTGCCTAACATGTTGTATCAAGTGTAAAGTGTATCCAGGATGTCCTTGATATGTGGGGGCTTTGTTTCAGGAAGCCTATTGAGTTGAAACATTTTCAAATGTAATTACTAATTCACATAATTTAATTTCCTAAAACATGGCAAGAGCTAAATCTGGCAGGTGAGATTTAAATCACATAAATGGTGCTAGAGAATTTGCCCACTCCAGGGACTATGAAAGTCCTGCTTCAAAGCCACATGCACAGCCATCCTGTGAGTGTCTCATGCAGATTGGGCTAGCACCTGTAGCTGCTTTGTTGGTTTAGCTGCTCCATCTGACTCCATGCTTTAGTTCCTCATAATGGGCTTTGACTGGAAGCTCATTTAATAGTCACCAAGTCAACTAGTTTATCTCTTGCAGAAGTCTAGTTTAGTGAAGCCATGAGGCAGCCATTAAATACAGTTCATACACTGGGAAGTGCATCTTATGAGTAAGCACACACTCCTCTACTGTTTGGTAAGGACATTGAAAATACGTGCAGAAAGGCAATAATAAGGTTTTCAATTAAGGATGGCATCACTACCTTTACAGGGGCTTAAATGCTCAGATTCATTGTTCATTAAAACAAACCCCCCACATGCTTTACACAGTCGCGAAAGCCTATCTGTGACTGTTTTCCTGGGACACTGGTCAATGGATCAGCCACGATAACCATGCTTCAGCATTACACTGTTAAAATTCCCAAAAACTATGAAAGGGGAGAAGTTGGTAAATTGCATAAGTGCACAGATGAACTTTTTACACTAGTAAGAAAACCGGAAGAACGATCGAGTAAAATTTCCACCTGTGGGCACATACAGTACATTCTCCTGCATGAACACACTAGACTAGAGGAACATATCACTCACATTCATTGACCAGATTTAAGAATAATGATTAGAAACACAGGACTCTGAAGAACAGTCGCAGGAAATGAGGCCAGGCTAGCTCCTAAAGTGTAGCAAAGCCCTGGGAAATCTAGAAGAAAACGTCTGACTTTCCAGCAAGGAAATTAACGTCATTTGACCA